CCACACATCTTGTGATCCAAGAAGTGTCTTCATTTTGATACTCCAATTGTCGTAGTTGTTGTTGTTGAGTGTCGGAACTTGGAATGGTGTCATACCATTTACTATATCTCTTAATATAATGAGATTTTACAAAATCTGATTGCACGGATGAATCTAGAACGCCGAAAAACCTTGGGAGGGACTTGGAAAACTCAGTCAATGGCTCCAACTCGGCTGACTCGGCTTAACTCGGTTAGTCAACTCGATTTTCTAGCAGCAGTCTTCTGGCGGTGCGTGGCGGCGTGTCAAAACTCAGATTGGGAAGATTTTGGCTGCGGCAGATTCCTCTCGTCGAGATCTTTGATCTTTCCAACTCACTCTGATACCACTTTGTTTGAAATAAAACACTCACACAAACAACTTTTATTGAAACTCAAACAAATATTACAAGAGCACTCTCACTCAAAAACAAGAACTACAACTCACTCTTATAAGACTTTGCTTCTTCACTCACTTAGAAGCTCTTAATTTTTCTTGATGCTTAAACTATAATGGGGAGGGGTATTTATACTACTCAAGAACAATCCAACACCACAAAAATTAAATAATTTAAACCATTAAAGTCTACAAATACCTAACTCTCACCTAACTAAATTGATGTAAGCAATGACATCTTCATCTAATTAATGTATGAAATGACATCAATTTAGTTTGAGTTTGGGTTTAGGCTCCCATAATGGATCAAGTTTATGATCCAACATTGATGCACGATTTTATATCAAGGAGGATAAACTTATAAAATTTGAGAAAGGTCGAACTTGTAAAATTTTAAGAAGCAAAAACAAATTAATAATAGAAAATAAAATAAATATCTAAAATATTTGATAATTTAATTTTCAAGGGCAAGTACTCCCAACGTCCCTACGTTATACTTGAATAGGAGGAAAGATGTTTAAAGAAAGGGTCACTCACGAGGCAATCTCAGCCAGCTTTCCCTAGTTTTGGTTCTCTATTATGGCCATAATCAACTCTTTATTCTCCTCAAGGTACTACAAGAAAATTCATCCATTATCATATCAATAGTCACAGAAAATCGATACAATTTTTCCCCAACAAACAAAAAGATACTTAGAAAGTCAACAATTCAAAGCTATTTTAACTTGTGAAAGTGAGAAAACAAATGACATGATTGTGAAACTGTAGTAAAAATCATTAGTAATGCCAAGAATCCAAAAGAATTTTAACTTGATTACAAATGATACATACACAAAACAATGCATGCAAAACCCATCATATATGAAATATCCAGTTAACCAAAATGCAAAAAAATATATAAAAAGGACAATGTTGTAAAGATCAAAAAACCATTGGAATCTACTCAATGGTGATGTTCATCAACTGTGCAGGATTCTAATACTCGATAAAAAGGACAATGCTGCTTGTGCTGTGGCTACTGCTACTTCAGCGGCTGCTGTTGTGGCAATGGCCACCGCAATGGCATGTCTTTGCTAAGCTTCACCACCTTCAGGGAAGGTGGCCTCTTTAGCACTACTTGTAGTTGTAGTAGTAGTAGTAGTTATAGTCTTTGCTTCATTGTGATGTATTATTGTTTAATTTGGGAAGGCTTCTTAAAAATTCATCTTCGTTTTCCTCTTTTCTGCTCAAAATTACTGAGAAAAAGGGGGAAAATAGATTTAAAGTTGATGGCATGCAACAGAATTAAAGCAAAAATTTTGAGAAATGAAGAACTTCTCTTCCTCCTCTTGTTCGTTATCTTCTCTCCTCCTAGAGCTTCTATTCTTGCTTTCCTTGTTAGGTGACCTAAAAGCCTTCTTCACTGCAGCCAACCAAGAGTTTCCTCCAATCTTCCCCATGAAAGATGGATTTCGCACAAAAAGAAAAGCTTAAACTAAACCAACTATATAATATATAACAAAAGACAATGGTGATTTATACATAAGTCATGGGAGCCTTAGTCTCCGGTCTCCATATGTAATCGAAAAACTAAGCATGTAATTTTCTTTGAGTGAATTAAGTAATATTTTAAGTTGAAATAGAAAACATTACATTATTGATAACAATCATATAACAAACTCATGTAACATTTTAGAGTGAACTTTGGTAAAAAAATCATGTAAATTATATAACTATTTTTGTTGCAATCTAAAAAGTTACCATCAAGAAAACCATGTAATATTCTCGATTGTAATCAAAATTATTATTAGTTGTATACTTTTTTAGAGTAGACAGAGTAACATCTTAGATTAAAAACTCACAATGTAATGACAATTTATGTAACTTTTTAAAATAGATAGAGTAATATTTTAGATTAAAACCCGCTGTAAATTAACATTAAATTGGCTAGAGATCTAATGAAAAAGAAAGAAAGAAATTTTGGATTTTTGTGTGCAAAGTGACATAGTGATAGCTAGTCCTTGCATTGGGAGCCGACGCCATTGCATCATAGTTAAGCTGTGTAAAATTATATCTATTTTATTATAAAAAATTTGTATTATAAACATATATGTACTTTACAAAAATATTTTTAAATCTATTATAGAATAATACCAAATAGTAGTCGAAAATTATAATAAATGGTAATATTGTCTTCAAAGTTTACCATAGAATATGGCAGCATAGGAGATTTGGTAACCGTGGGCAACGTTGAAGTCATGGTTGGTAACTTTTTGGACAAGTTTTTAAAATGGGATCTTTTAAAATATAGCAACCACTATGGAATTTAGAACATTTTTCTGACTATGCATGTTGTGTATTATATTCAGAGTTAATTGTATTATATGTTCTTAAAGTATGATTTTTTTTTAAATTGGTTTCTAAACTTTTAAATACTCTAATTTTATTCTCAAATTATGATTTTTATTTTAAATTGGTCAGTTTAACCTAAGTTTATTTTTTTTCAAACATATTATAATATAGATTGACCTAACAAATTTTTCAACATGGGATATGATTAATATATACATATAGTTTATGATGAAATTGAAATGTTCAAAAAGTTTGGAGACCAATTGAGAATGGACATAGTTTGGGGATGAAACTAAAATGTTCAAAAGTTTGAGGAAAACTTTAGAATGATGGTCACAGTTTAGGGATGAAATTAAAACATTTAAAAGTTAAAAAACTAATTTAGAATGAAGGACATTGTTTGAGGATGTGTGATGCATTAACTCTTATATTCATAGAAACAAGCTGTAGTTACTAAACTATAAATTTTATCCCTCAACTTTAATCTTATTTTCACCTTGGTATCTAATTTTTCAGTAATTTTAGTTTGATCGTTAAACTTTTAAATTATTCTTGTTTTTGTTACTTTATCGTTAAAGACATTAAAGAAGATGAAGCCGGCTATAGAAATTAATTTTATGTATTAGTGAGGTGTTGCGTTTGGTTCAAGATTTTTTAATAGTGCTAAAAATTCAGGGCAAACGTTAAAACGGAATTATAATTTAAGTTCTTATTTTTATTAAAAAAAATTTAGATATCTAAAATAGAAAATATGGCATAGTTTGGGGTACTCTTTCATTTAATCCTTATACTTTTAAGGGTAAAGTACATAAATGATCCCCCAATTATATGATAATATTTTATTGAGTCCCTTGACTATTAAAAATTATAAAATGATCCCTCAATTACAGGGAATTGCTTTGTTGAGTCTTTCAATTATTAAAAGTTACAAAATGATCACTGGACTATTCATTATATTCAAAATTCATCCTTTTCCGTTAAAAAATTAATAATCGTCTAAGTTGGACATTAACATGTTAACAGAGATATGATAGTCATTTGCGATTACGAGATCATATTTTATCATATCTCAATCAGCAGGTTAACATACAACTCAAATTTCGATCAAGATTTTAATGAAAAAATATGGGTTTGTAACATAATAATAGGGGTGACCAATCTGTAATTTTTAAGAGTTGAGGGACTCAATAAAGCAACTTTCTAAAGTTGAGGGATCATTTTGTAACTTTTAATAGTCAAAGGACTCAATAAAACATTATTATATAGTCAGGGGACCGTTTATGTACTTTATCCTATTTTTAAAGTGAATTTTGAGTCGTAGTTAGGGATGGACATGAGTTGGGTTAGGTCGGATTTTCGGTCTACCCGACCCGACCCGAAAATTGTAAATCTTCCACCCGACACAAAAATTATACCCCTTCCACCTGACCCGAACCCGACTCGACCCGAAATAATATTTTTATTCAATAAAATAGAGATTTAATTGAAATAAAAATAATATATAGAGGGGTATTATTGTAATTATCCCTAAATATATAAAGTAAAATTATAATTTTTTAGGGTCGGGTCGGATATTTTTCACCCTAAATCTGAACCCGAACATAACTTAAAAAATTCAGACCCAAACCCAAATTTTCTTTCTAAAAATCAGATCCGGCCGAGTTCGGGTACCATGCTCATCCCTAGTGAGCACTAACTTATGCGTTGGTAAAAATTGAACCAAACGCAGATTATTGACGTTAACCGACTGTAACAAATGAATAAATAAATAAATAAACAAACAAGAAAAAGTAGAAAAAGAAGTTGAGCAACTTTAAAACTATTGGATACATTTTTTCAATTCAACATGAAATTATGTGGAAAAAGATAATAATTCTTTACCATATCCAGATTTTAGAACTTATTCTATTCATGCATTAATGATATATTAAGAACAGATTTGCATAAAAATTAACAAGAATTGTATAACTCAAATTTGGAAGTCATGGTTTCTTTTCTTCAATTCGGGCTGCTTTTTTTTAGAATTTTAATTATTTATTTATATTGTAAATATATTTTAATTGTGTTAGTAAAAGTATTGGGTTGGAGACAAACTGGTCAACAAATATTGACATTTATGAACAAATTGAGAAAAAAGACAGAGACGAAAGCTAATAAAACCATTTCCAACCCCTCACTCTCCCTCCTCGAGCCATTTCAACTATATATATATTTGAAGGCTGCTTCTTCTTCTTTCAGATTGGGTTGATTGGCAGTGGTGAGAAAAATGGTTTCAGGTGGAAAGACTCACAGTTTTGAAGAGGTTGCAAATCACAACAAGATCAAAGATTGCTGGCTCATTATTTCTGGGAAGGTCAGCTCATTTGATTACTGTGTCTCTCTATTTCATGTTTGTTTAATTGCTCTTATTGTTGTTTGTTTGATCATTGATTGTTGATGAATCGTATGAACGAATACGCATCTTCTTAAGAGTTTAAGACAAGGGAAAACAAGTAAATGAGTGCTTGCTTGGAATATAACTGAGATTTGGGTGTAATAGGTGTATGATGTAACTCCATTCGTGGATAAGCATCCCGGAGGGGCCGAAGTCTTGCTTTCGGCGACAGGGAAGGATGGGACAAATGATTTTGAAGAAATTGGGCACAGTGATGAAGCCAGAGAAATGATGGAAAAGTACTACATCGGTGTGATCGACTCTAAAACTGTGCCCGCCAAGCGCACCAACATTCCCCCCCAACAAACCCCTTACAATCCCAACGCTAAGGCCTCTGAATCCCTGGCTAACATCCTCCGATTTCTACTGCCCCTCTTCGTCCTCGGCTTCGCTCTTACACTTGGTCTCTACACCAACAAAGACTAGGAAGCAAGGACCTCTCACTAGCTGCTTTCATCCTTTTTACTTTACAACAAAAACCATGTTATATTTTCCATTTAGGGGCGTTTGGTTCAAGAAATGTAAGATTATCTTTGGAAACACCATTACTGGAATGTAAGGGAATATTGTATTACCTTGTTTGATTTGTTTAGCATGAATATAAGATTACAGTGTTTGGTTTGAGGAATGTAAGATTACTTGGATGCATATTTTATCAAATTATCCTTGTGATATATTTTTTAAAGTTAAACTTTAATATTAATTTATAAATATTTGAATGAAAATTCATAAAAATATTTTAATCGTTATACTATCTAACTTTTGAGGAGAAATTACATTTAATATATAATTAATATAATTAGTATATTAAATTTATATTTTTAAATAATGTTCATAAGTATCATATATTTATATAAAATCTAATATAGTATTAAAAAATAATATTATGGTAGTAAAATATTATTTTTAATAATTACATTTTTACAATAATACTATTTTTTCGTCCAATAAAATTATAAATAGTAAAATATTGAATATTAAAAATATAAAATATTTTAAATTCTCAAAATTATTAATATTTTAGTAAATCAAACTCTTGTATATTGTTATTATTTTTATAATTTTGAGTGAAGTATAAAAAATAAGAATTTAGAAGGACCATTTTAAAAAGAATTCATTAGTCCAAGGGTATTATTGTCCAAAGCGGTGGGAATGTAAGATTACCTAAGAATTTGGAGGTAATGACATTTTACTATTTTAACAAAAAAAATGCTACTATTGGGAAAAGAGTATTTCCAGTAATGTAAGATTCCATGAACCAAACGTGGGAATACAATTCTGGAAAAAAACATTCCCTTTTGTAATGTAAAATTCAATTCCACGAACCAAACGTACCTTAGTGTCTTCAACCTCGTATTGGTTCACTGTCCAAGATTATAATTATTGAGCAACTTTGAAGCCTGTGTTTACAAACATTTGCTCAAATAATAATGCAATTTTTCATACTATAGTGAATGAGTACGGGATGGTATCATTATCATACCTTTGATGCATCTGTCATATGTCTGCAAATCCGAATGAGAGACCAAATCAAGGACCAAGCCCCACAAAGAAGAAAACTGAATTAAAAAGATTTTCCTTCTTTATGGCCACAAACAGAAGAAAACTGCAACTGCTGACAAACACATTACAATCTAGCACAAACGTAGCCTATGAAGACTCCAGTTTGCCACTAAAAACCTTTTTCATAAAACATCCCCATTAACCGATCAACTTTGTAACAATAAACTCCAAACAGGTGAAGCATGGTTTCAGTAATAAAACAATAAACTACAAACATCATACTTTTCACCTTCGACAGAGATCCATCAAACGCTAGCTTATAGTTACCGTGCTCAATCCACGTGATTCTTAGGAACAACCCTTTCATCCCCCCCAGAAAATTTGAGGTTTACCAATCCACCAGTTTCTTGAGAGTTCAATTTCTCACATCCTCAATTATCATAACAACCATGCCAAGATAAACTCGAAACTTGAAAAAACGTTTTGTTTTATATAACAAAATATAGTAACAAACAAGGTTATTAACAATGGGGTGTAGCTCATATGGTAGAGCACTCGCTTCGCATGCGAGAGGTACGGAGTTCGATTTCCCGCACCTCCAGTTCCTTTTGAGAATCCTTTTTGCGTTTGAGAAGATGCCATTCGCAACCGCTGTGATCTTTTTGATGGCTGTTTGTTCAATAATGAGGTGGCATTTACCAACGACGTGGGAGAGGCTTTATTAGGGCACGTGGCCAAGTGTCTGTTATGGCTTGTTTGGGAGATTACTTTACCAACACTGTTTCATAACCAAGTGAAATGGGAAGGAAAATAACTCATATAAACACGTATGTATAACTTGTAAACGAAATGGAAAGCTTCACCTGAAAACAAAGAGAGACGCGGAGTTGTGAAAACCCTAATGGGGAAGACCATAATCCTAAAGGTTGAATCAAGTGACACCATCAATAATGTGAATACAAAGTTTTAATATTTAAATTATTATTATACCGAGACAAGTTACCATATGCACTAACTTTTTAATCCTCGATGACCAAAATAACAATTAAATATAATGTTACGTATAATTTTAGAGAAAAATTGATTGATTAAAATATACAAAAAAATGTGAGTGAACAAGTAGATAATTTATCTTTATATTTTTAAGTAAATATTTTGTTAAGTTGAACTGGATTCATCGTAGAGAAAGATATTATGTAACACCTTCAACTCGACCTGAAAAAAGAACCCGAATCGAAAATGTCACATTAGACACCGAGGTGATCTCTATAACACCCTAATATGATCCGACTCGAAATTCGGAGGATTAGAATGTTACACTGAACCATCTAAGTGGCTAACCATTTTTTTAAAATCAATACTCGTAATCACTATTTAAAAACCAATAGTTCAAAACAGTAACAAAATCCTTTTTATAAATCAAAGCTCCATGACAAAATTTAAATAAATTAATACAACTTAAAGTTTACATACAATTCATAATACATAAGGGTCCTATGAATACACATGCCAACTACAAGTAACCAAACAATACTCTGTGAGGAAGGCTGGAAATATTGTTGCGATGGTGCTCCTCGAACAACTTAATATACTAACATACGAAAGGAAACATACGAAAGGAAACATCCAAACGTTGAGCTTACAAAGCCTAATAGTATAATCCATAATCTAGAGCAGCATATGAATTACATAAACATAGGCATGCTGGCATATATGGTAATAAATAGTAGGTACATGCATGATCCTAATCAAGTGCTACCTACTTAAGGTTCAATAGTTCTATCTCTTTAGTGTAAGTCTCGTGCTTCCCTTAGTCTCTACAAAGGGCCTCACCGTGAGTGAATTTATAATAGGTCTCTAACCTCAGTATCATCCAAAAATGTATCATCATGCAACACACAATGATAGTACCCAATATCTCAAAGACGCCTGATACAATCACACAATAACCAGTAAGCATCATGGTGTGGCTCAGGGTCACATAGCATCACAAAACTCATACCCCTATTTTCTTACTACTAGCAACTTACGCGAGATATAGGTCAAACTGCATCAACATGCATGTATCACATAACATTGACACTTGCTAGGATAGTCTAGTCTTTTATAGTACTCATAACATGCATGTATCACATAACATTAGTAAAACGTTCGACTAGCATCTAAAGTCCTCTCGCATTGAATTTGATATATATGAATATTTCTCAAACAGCTGGACGATCGTCACATGCACGCATAAGTAAAGCAGGTGTCCTTATCATTTCCAGAGTGACAAAAAAAGGCAAGTCTTATAGAATCTTACCTTATAAGGTTTTGATGGTTATCACACATATACTATTACTATCATGTGATTATCTTGTCATTATTATCATGTAGTTATCTTGTCATTATTTTCAGTTATAACACAAATAGGGGATATTTCTCCCTCACTTACTATTATTTCATTTGTTTTCTCTCATAGAACGATATGCAAGAGCTTAATAGTATTTTTTTCTGTTTTATGCCCTTAAGGAAATTCATATCCATTGCTACCCTCTTGGTATAATTAAAATAGCCCAATATTTGATTAAAAGATAGTTTAATATCAATTACTCCCTTGTCACTCTTGTCACACTTCCCCTCTGTTCATCCTTGAATCGGTAGGGCTCTTATACACCTTTGATTATAGGTGTTCACATAGTACTCGCTTTTCTCTATCACATTAGTCATGACATTCATCGTTTCACTCGATGGAACATATTTGGAACGATCCTTTGCTCACGATTTCTCAATTCGTGTTCGATTGAAGATACTTAGAAATTTTTTGCCTAATATGGTTACTTCGGTTGTAACCTAGTCTTAAGAATGTTTCTAGGTAACTTTTTCCATTTAAGCACTTCACGGACTAAGTTCTACCATTTCGGATTATTCTTTACTCTTACAGACCTTAATGGGGCCCAATCTATCCATACAAAATGGGTAGTATCGATACTCTACTTGAAATATCGATACCCTAGGGTCAACTATCTATACCCCATGAGTATCGATACTAAAAATGGTTTTTGTTTGCTGAAAAGTGACCCAGTATCAATACTGTTACCCTGAATATCGATATATTAGGGGTAATATATACTCTCCCAGCAATATCAATACACCCAGCTAAAAATCCCCAAATTTCTTCATAATTCATCTAGTATCATAACTTTTCATCCAATATCGATACTCAAACCTATAAATGCTTATTTAATCTCAAAAAACACCAAAAAAATCATCTCAAATGTCTTAGTTTGGTTTTTAATAATGTGCTAAAGCTTTAGAAGGTTACTTTGGGTCTTTAAGTATAATAAAAACATATGCTTTACATCAAATTTGTCATATATGTCATGAATCAAGTATGAAACTCTAAAATGTTTAAATACTCAAATCCCTAATAAGACATCATATTTAGGAAATTAATGATACAGAAAAGGATTATAAATACACTACCTTTGTTAAAGAATCCCAAAATGAAGCTCATTTAGCTAGCTATCACTCTCCTCCAAGACTTGGATAACAAACCCTCACTTTTTCTTGCAAACAAATAACCCAATACTTTGAATTGTTAAAACAAGTTTGCTAGAGGGATTGAGGACGAAATTGAAGCTTAGAAGAAGTGATAAAGGTTCTCAAGAGCTTACCTTTGAGCTAGGCACTTGGAGAGGAAAAATGGGAGAGAAGAAAAGATGAAGAAGAATGAAATAAGGAGAAGAAGATGAAGGAGGATATAAAACCCTCATATTTTCTCAATTGGTAGAATCACACTTTTGGTCATTCACATCTTTTCTTATATCTAAAAATCCCTTTTTTTTGGCTAATTGGGCCCAACTCTAGCCTAATTAAGCCCAACATGATCTAACGATTTTAATCATAAAATCCTTGGGGCCTTTATATCCCTTGAGTAAACTTGAAAGTACTACCCTGTTGTTTGGGGTGTTACAATCCCATAATCAAAAAAAATATGAAAATGCAACCTACTTAAAATTTTAAAACCAATAATACAAGGTATGAAAAAGATAAACATTTTTAAAAGGGTGAACTCCTTTATTTGAAAATCAAAATTCATAAATAAGTGATTTTCAACATACTCGGATAAAGTCATAACTTATA